CAAGATAGTTCAGTGTGTAGGAGTGCTAGACTCGGAGTCAGGAAGATCTGAGTTCAAATCCAGGCTCAGACCCTTACTAACCATTGACCCTCAGCAAATCATTTAACCTCTGTTTGCTTTAATCTGCCAGAGAAGGAAATGGCCAACCACTCTAGTATCTTCGCCAAGAAAACCCTACAGACGATATGGTCCACAGTGTCATGATAGGACCAAACAACAACACTATTTACCTACCACTAAACCTATGTGGTCCTACGTTGTTATTGATTCATCTACGTTTATGTCTTGTTTCCCCAAGTATACTCTAAGTCCTTTAGGGCAGGGACCCATGTCATATGTCCATTGTATCACCAGCATTGAGCAAGTGCCCTGTACCATGCTCGGTAAATGTTGGTTTTTGTTGTGAATTCGGCATACAGATGTTTGTGCATCCTTAGAGGTGTGTGAGAGAATAAGGAGATGAGGTAGGTCCTTCCCTGAAGAGGCATGGTGGGCAGCAGCATGGTGCACCTGAGCCTTCTGTCTGGGTAGGAATCAGAAGGCCCAGGGTCCAGCCCAGCCATTGCCAATGACTCCCTGGCATGCTTGGGTGAGTCTCTGCACTTCCTGTGTTCCACCTATAAAATGGGGATAATGAAAGGCAGCTTTGCAGCAATTTTATGATGCCAGCATGCTATTTACAAAAAGACAAGGAACTCTTTGGGGAAGGTTTCATGATTTTTAAGAAGACTAAGACATATTTCAGGAGAGGTTTTATTACATGGGGATACCAGCATTAAAACAATCCAATCTAAAAAAAAAAAATCCAAGCTTTAAAAAAAAAACAAAACTTGGGAATAATTCTTTGTTTGACATATCAAAAACTATTTTTCCAAGTCCATTGAGGTAGGAATCAATTTGCCCTCAACTTGTACCTTTGTTATAAAATGAAGCACACATTCTATTCTCTCTTCCTTTTGCTGAATTAATAAAAAAAGTATTTTGAATAACTATTGGTCTACGTTTGGGCTAGAGTGCGGCCCTTTGACTGAATCCAAACTTCATAAAACAAGTCTTCTTAATAAAAGGATTTGTTCTGTAAAACTTGTACTCAGTCAAAAGGATATTCACTCAAGGACCTAGAAGGCCACATGTGTGGCCTTGAGGCTGCAGGTTCCCCACCCCTGGTCTAGACAATGACATAAAGTCTGGCTAAGATTAATTCATCTAGTGAATAACTACTGTTTTGGGGAAAGTCATTTCCCTTCCCTGGGACAACTGTGATGTATAATGGAAAGAGGTCTAGATTTGGTGTCAAAAGACCTGGGATAACTTAGATATGAATCCTTGCACCTGCCACAGACTAGCTCTATGATCTTAGATGAATCATTTAACCTTCAGAATGATGGAATCTCACAGCTGGAGGAGACCTTAGAGGCCATCAGATAAGTCAAATTTCTGGGTGTGGCCTGGACCAGATTAAAATGTAATTGGGAAATGTTTAATAAAATAAATAAAAATGCAATTCAACACAGATAATGTTAATTTGTGGTTTTCTTAAGTCAATATGCAGCCTATAGGGATCTGTTTCTATGTGAGTTTGATTCCAGAGATCTAGTCCACCCCATATATGAACAAGAATCCCCTCTACAAATATACCCAATAATACATATTACATATATGTATACATGTATACATACAATAACAATATACCCATCTAGACTTCCTGGATAGAAGGGAGAAATCCTGAGAAATCCTAAAAAGCCTAAATAACTACTACCCACTAAGGTGATTCTGCTGAAGACATGATACTACCAGATGGGATAGGATTGCTAAGGATTAGTAGTGCTGTTAAACATTTGTATCAATGACTTGGAAAAAAGACACAGATTTCATGCTTATTAAATTTGTAAATGGCACAAAGCTAAGAGGAACAGTTAGTACATTGGGTAACAATCTGGATCCAGAAAGATCTCGACGGGCTAAAATGCTGGGCCAAATCTAATAAGATGAAATTTAATAGAGATTAAAGTCAGTCTTGGGTTCACTCAACCTAAAGGATCATGGTATCAACTTCAGAAGAATAAGATGGAGGAAACATGCTATTTTGAAAGAAATCTGGAGATTTTAATGGTTTGTAAGTTAAAAATGAGTAAGTAAACAATGTAATATAGTAGCCAAAAAGGCAAATGTGATTTTAGGCTGTGATTATTATTAGGTACATTATAGTGTCTTGGGCAAGAGAAAGAATAGTCCCATCATACTCTGCGCTGGTCAGACCACCTTGGAGTATTGTGTTCAGTTTTAGGCACCATGTTTTAGACTCTCCACTGACTGGAGAGCAGAGGAGGGAGGGAGAAGATGAATTCAGGGATGTGCTGGAGCCAGCCCAAACAGGCTCCAAAAAGCCAATTATTAGATTTTCTTTTTTAAAAATTAATATATTTTTGTTACATTTTAAGTTTGAACTGTCTTCTTCCCTTCTCCCCATCATTTGACACAGATATATGTGTGTCATGTGTGCATGTGTGAATTATATATACATATATACACATACATATATATATACACACATACATGTACACACATAGACACACATAAAAACACCATGCTATGCATAACTTCCATTTATCGATTCTTTCTCTGGAGGTGGCTAGCATCTTCCTTCACGGGTCCTTGTAGTTGATTTGAGTATTTATAATACTTAGAATAACTTAGTCATTAACAGTTATTCTTCAAACAATATTGCGGTTACTATATACAACATTCTCTTGGTTCTGCTCATTTCACTCTTCAGTGGTTAAATTTTCAATGTGAGCATTCACACCTTAGAAATCTGCCAACGCTGTAGATCAAGCCTTGATGTATTGTTTTGTTGGTTCTTGAGACTTTTTTGTTGTTGTTCAGTCATGCCTGACTCTTTGTGATCCCCTTTTTTGGGTTTGCTTGGCAAAGATACTGGAGAGGTTTGCCATTTCCTTTTCTAGCTCATTTGACAGATGAGGAAATTGAGGCAAACAGGGTTAAGTGACTTGCCCAGGATCACATAGCTAGTAAGTATCTGACACTGAATTTGAACTCAGATTTTCCTGACCAAGGCCTGATGCTCTATCCAGTGGGCCACCTAGCTACCCTGTCTAGACTTAGTTAAGTGTTAATAATGCAAATTAAACTTTAAAGTGTCTTGCTAATATCCCCGTCCCCTTAGCAGGTTGTTAAACATTTACCAGCATACCACTGGATATATGCTTCTATGACAAGAATGAGTCTTCAAAATGATGACAAATAAGATGTTTGAAAGATCTATGGAAAGAGTATGGGCTGTGGAGTGGGGAGGACTTGAGTTCAAATCCAGCCTCAGGACACTTAACTAGCTGTGTGACCGTGGGCAAGTCACTTAACTGGATTGCCTCCCCTAAAAAAATCTATGAAGAGAAGACATAGGAAGGACATGTTAAGTATCTTCAAGCATTTGAAGGATTGTCATGTGGAAGAGAAAATAATCTTATTATACAAACCTGGCTTCAGAGGACAGAACTGGCAGAGTAGATGGAAGTTTCAGAAAGCTTAATTTAGGTTGGATTTAGGGGAAAACTTCACAGCAATTACATCTACCCAAAAGAAGTGCCTTAGAAGGTGCATTCTCCCTAACTCAGGTCTTCAACTTCTCTGGGCCCAGTTCCTCATTTATAAGATAAAATCAAGGTAACTAACTACCTTGTTAACCACCTTCCACCATGAAGAAAATGTTTAGCTTTACAAAAGTACACTTAGCAAATTTGTTCTAGGGGAAATTTGGAAACACACCGTATAGTGAATTTAGTAGGGTAAGACCTGAACAAATCACAATATACAAGGATAATGAAATATTATTTTGGTATGAAGAAAATTGAATATAAAAATTCTAAGATTTATGTGAAGATTTGTAAGAATTGATGAAGAATGAAGAAAAGCTATGCTTTCTTCAAACAGTGAATATACTCTTAGTAGGACAAAAAAACTATTTACATTAACTGTTTTTCTTTATTATAAGGGTGGGTTTTAGGAGAGTGAGATGGAGTGGGGATGGTTTTGAAGAGCTTTATTAAAGAAGAGTTCTATTTAAAAAAAAAAACAACCCAAGTATTAGTATTAAAAATTAAGTCAAGGTGCAATCTCTTTACAACAAACTGTAAATTCCAAGGAACTGTCTTTTGTGTTAGGGGTTTTGGGGCAAGTACCTTTGGGCTGTGGCTTTTGTGATTATATTTATCAGCTGTGTTCAATCACAATTTATCAACAACAACAAAAACCTTTAAAAGTTCTTGAATTTATAGTATCTTTTTATTATACATTTCCTCATTCAATAGATACTTAGAGGCAGCTTCTAGTACTTTTTAATTGAAAAAAAAAGAGGGAGTGAGGCTAGATCTATACGCTTCCTTTTCAACTTTAAAATACTAAAGCCGTTATGATCTCTAGGTTATCTTGAGGTCCTGCTAATTCTATGATACTATGATTTGAGGGACAGAGTGAATTTGGACTGGGAGGGAGAGGAAGATTAGAGTTAGAGGGTAGGGGCAAAGGGAGGGGAAGAATAGAAAGGGATAAAACTAAACTCTAGTATAGAGGAGTTAGCGTGTAATAGACGGCACTGGAGCTAAATGAGGGGAAAGGGTTGTAGATTAGCTCTACAACTTGGGACACCGCCTTCCTCAACTGAGATCCCCAAGAACACTTTCAGTTACCCCCACGCCTGCGCAACTCCATTTCTCCTGTCCCGCCCCCCCGCCCCGATAATTTACTCGTTTCTGGGCAACCATTGATCTCGTGCAGCCAATCAGAAAGAGTATTATCTCTGCGCCCCGACTCCGTCAGCTCCCCTGCGGAAGGATCCCTTTTTGGGCAGCTCCGCCCTAGTCCCGCCTCTGGCTATCTTCAGAAGGCCGAGTTTGGGGCGGAGGCAGCGGAGGTGGGGCGGGGCGTACTGAGACCGGTATAAGAGCGGAGGGGGCGGCGGCGGAGCGGCTCACTCGGTGCCGGTGCCCGGGGTTTGTAGTGACCGAGCCCCTCCCGCCGGGGCTACCGACGGCTAAGACGTGCTAATACCATCATCGCCGTCACCTCCTAGTCCTCCTCCTAACAACAACTCCACCCACCGCCCAGGTGAGCGAGTCCCGGATTGTCAGGTGCTTCCCACTCTTATTGCCCCCTCCCCTCCCCTTAATCCCCTGGCAGGGTTGGGGCAGCGAGAGAGGCTGGAGGGGTCTGCGGGCACCTGGGCGCCGAGGCTGGCTGCTACGCGCCCCGGGGTGGAGGGAGACTGGGGGAGGGGGCAGGTGCAGAGCCCGGGGGAAGGGCAGTGCTTGTGGGGGTGGTGAGACCCCCCGGGAGGGGGGGCCTCCACCCTCTTCCCCCTCTTTTTTGGGGGGCTGGCTGCATCTCTACGAAACTGAGACTCTCCGCTACTCCGAAACCGAGACGGAGCTGCGCCTCTGAGCTGGCAAACTTTTAAACCACCAGGCACCTAAGCGCTCCGCACTGGGCTAGGCGCTTGGGGGAGGGGGGTTATTAACTGCCTCCTTAGGGCGCTTAGAGGGAAAGCGCTTTGAAACGTCTTTCTGGGCTTTCGAGATGTGAGCGGCTCCAATTTTCCTGGGATTTCACTGCTGCCCTCCCTTAAAGCCAGGCTGCTCTTGCTACCCTTCCCTCCCCCGGCCTTCCTACCCTGACCTTCCCTAGTTCGGAGACATCCCGCTCCTAGGCAGCCGGGAGCAGCATGGTCACCTTCCTTCCCCGACTGACAGATGAGAGAATTGAATCCAGCCGGCCTCGAATCAGGAAGACCTGGGTTTTCACATCCTCGCCTCCAGCACTGGCTGGCTGGGGGACTTGTGAGCAAGTGACCTAACTTTTCAGGACTTCCAGGCAATTTAAGATTACTAGCTGTTGAGCAGTTATCTTTCTGCGTTGGTGGATGGAATTTCACCGAGAGTCCCCTATACCGAAATTGCAGGTCGGGACCATAAAAGGAAAAAAAATAAGAGAAAAAAAGAAAGAAACCACTACAGACAGTAGTTGGTTCTGGGCTCGGTACTGTGCGGGGCTCAAAGATGTAGAAACAACACTGCGATAGAATAGCGCCATTTACCTACCTGATGATGGTCTTCAGTTTCTGTGGAAACCAGAGGGAGAAAGGAGACCTCCCTAATTTTTTTTCCCCTTTGACATAGACTTTTTTGTTTCGTGAATACTGCGCTGTCAGCTGTAGCTGCCGTAGGCTCATCAAATACAGCGCAAACCAAACTTGCTTAGCAACCTGTTGGAATGAATCCATTAGAATAATTTTTTCTTAAATCGCAGTTTCCACGTTTATGGAGTTAGATATTAGTTGTTCAGTGTATATTTTCTCATTTAGAGATCTAGGTTTAGCAGTTGGGGGAACGGAGAGGTGTATAGCATCATTAGTCATAAAAGAGGGAGAGTGAGAAAAATAACATTTAGTAAAAACAAACACCAAACAACAGATCAAAACCCCTAAGTCACCTGAAGGAACATTTTTGACTTATGGTTCTATATGAAGAAACAAAAGGGTTTAACACTGTAAATAACCATGTTATTTAACCTTCTAGGAAGAGTCCTTTTTTCTTAAAAGGTAGTGTCTGACCCTACTTTCATAGAACCATGGAGGGTTAGAGCTGAAAGGAACTAATCTAGAGATCAATCTTCTCAACCTCCTCACTCTTTCAAATGAGTACAAGGGCTGAGAACTAGATCTTCCAGGTTAGGGCACTGATCCATTTTTACTCAAATATAATAGACAAGAATCTTATAAAGGTGTTCGTTTTTAGTAAAGTCTAATTTTCTGTGGGATTGTTTTGCATTATCACAGATTGACACCAGATAAAATTTGGGGAATGGGAGAAATGACCCTGAAACCCATCCTGCCTGCTGGCATGAAATTAGCACTGGATTATGAACATTTCTTAAATAATGTGGTTTTAGTATATCTTAGTTACTTTGTTCAGTTGCCAGAATGGGAACATCTCTTTTTTTCAGTATGAAGTGTGGGAGAAAAGTGGGGAAGAGGATGGGGGTGATAAGGAAAGGAGCAACATTACTGTATTTTAAGTAGTAAAAATATTCCTTTAGGAAAAGATTGTGGCTTTAGACACACAAACATCCCAAGCAGATGCTATTTTCACTTGATTCTCTGTCAAGCCCCAGATTGCCTACAGTAAGCCCTATGATCAAAGCTTACCTCTTCTCTTGTACTACCTATATGACCCTAGAAGTCACTTCACTTCCCCACTTAACATTCTTAACCTGTAAAATGAGGGGGTTGGACTATATGTATACTTTGGCATACATATCCACTTGAGTTTTTAAAATGCTGATTAATTTCCCATTCATAGGGCCCCTAAATATTATTGCAAATATGATTCAGAATGACTGAGATTTAATGTACAGGACCTATAACCCTAATAAAATTCTGTTAAGTCTCTATAGAATGAGGGAGACACTGCTCTTGTCATCAAATTATTTAGCACCTGAGAACACTAATGAAGCAATTATAAGTTTATTAAGAGTAATTTATGAGCTAGGTACTGAGGATACAAAGGTGAGACAATCTCTGGTTTCCAGGAGCTTGTGACGTGTTTAGATCATGCATAGGATCTAAAGAGGCTTATGGTATTGTGTGCAAGGGTACTAGCATCTTGTCATTTTTTTTAATGATTTTGCACAATCGTATGGTCACACGACGTTCAGAGTTTATCCCAAACTATAGAAACACTGGTATGCTGCATGTGTAGGTGGGATTGGGATGTGTGTGTGGGGTGGGGGAAGTGGTAGTTTTGGTATATGTCAGGCTGGGAGTGTAAGCTGGATGTCCATTCACATTATGTAGTGAATCAAATGTTGATCTAACAATAAAATCCCTTTGGGTACTTCCAAAAATCCCAGATAAGTCAATATAGCAATCAAGGAAAATTAAGAAGTGCTATATTTAATTTTGGACTTATAGTTGTACAAACTACCACATAACTATCAAAATAAAGCAGATTCAGTGAGGTCATGCTAGGAAAATTCATCACTCTTTTTAAGGTATAAGTTTCCTTGAAATTAACACTAGTGAAATAATAGCCTAAATACTTTGAAATGATCAGCTGTTAATGTGTCAAAAACCATTTTCTAATTAAAGCGATATTTAACAAAAAGAGCAGTTTCCACATAAGTTACAGTAGTTGTCCATTTAAATATTGTATGTTGTGGTTTTGTATCCGGGTAAGGCTGGGTTCTATAAGAACCCAGTATTAAGACTTAAGCTCACTTGTCTGCTTCCTGCTAGCTCTGTGGGCCTGTTGTTGTGATGGGTTTGTACATGAAACACTCCAATTTTTGAATGTTACTTGATTTAATGAGGGGAATGTTTATATTGTTTTCTGAGTCTTTACTGAACTCTGTGTAAAGCTAATAAGGAAGAGTTATAATAGTTTCTGGACTGTCTTTTTTTTTTTTATCCTCATAAACCTGGCACAGTGCTTAAGAAATGTCTTAATTTTGTTGAATTAACTAATTCAGTAGTCATTTAAAGTCTAGGGTCTGGGGTGTTACAAAGATAATTCATAAGATACTAGAGAAGAGTTACACTGTATCTAGGAGACATGTTACTTTGGAGAAGCCTTTTTAAGATGAATCAAACACATCAGTATGCTACCATGAAATGTCAAATTGCCATGCATTTGGATGAGGCAACAGTATTAGAGTCTTGTCAGATTTCTTCTGAAGTACTCTGGCACGCATAGGATTGCTCTTATATCTGGAATTTAAATAAGCTAACATGAAGTAAACATCTTTAGGAAGGACTTTAAAGAAACCCGAGGGTTCTCTTAAAAAAAAAAAGCCCAATTTTTCTTATCCGGGTTGTGTCATACAGGTAATCCCATCGATTTAACATAGCAGCTATTGTAGAACAGTGGTACTAGACTTAGAGGTATTTATAAAGCTTTGTAGAAATGAGAGAAGACATGGTGGAGAAAGGACTAAAGTTGAACTGATCTAAAAAAAAAAAAAGCCTCTAAAAGCAAAATCCAGCCTAGCATTATGGCCAAAGATGCTAATTGCCCTTTTGTATTCCAGGTAATGATCTTTCTGTTAATGATGTAATAGTTTACTTTTATAACCTGTTAATATATGTAAAAGAAAGCATTTTGGAGTCTTGTCTCTTGTTCACAGCTTATCTTTACATTTGTGGTCCTTGGGAACTAGATTCAGGCCCATTCATATTTCATAGACCACTTATTTCTTGGGATAGTAATTATTATTGTAACACCAAGCTGGGTTATTGAGACAAAAGTGACAGACTGAGGACGATAGTGAGGATCATGCACTTACTCTGGCTGGCCTGGAGTCTGAGTTGTTGAAAGTTTGATAGCCATTATTTATTTTTCTATTGTTACTCTCCTTCCTTGGTTTCCACTGCTAAGCTTGCCACCGTCCCTTTTGTATAGTCAGTTGTTAAAGGTCCTGTTCCTTCCCCCTCCTTAGGTTCTTATCAGTGTCATTCAGCTTTTCTCCATTGTTGAAGTTATCTCTGAACCTTTCTTTGTTTCTGGACTCCTTCGCTAGTTGGCACTGTGAATAAAGCAATGGACTTCGAGTCTGGAAGACTTGACTTCTGGATCAAATCCTGTCTCAGACACCTATTAACTAGCTATTTGACCATGAGCAAGTCACTAGTCCATTTTCAGACTTATTTTCTTCATCTGTAAAATGGGGATAATAAAAGCATTTACCTGGTGGGGTTGCCTTAAGGATCTAATGCCATAGAAGATATTATGTAAGGCACTTTGCAAACCTTGAAAGCAGTATGCAAATGCTAGCTATTGTTATTACTAACTCTCTTCTGTGTCGTGTTGAATATTTGGTCTTTCCCAATTCTTACTGCCATTCTGCTATCCTAGGCTCTCCCACCCCTAAACTGCTGCCTGCTTTTAATCTGTTTTTTTTTTATAGAAGACTGCCTAATTAATCTCAACCCAATCAATCCCAATCAGCTCCCTATTTCAGGTGAGTATCTTCTTAAATCCATCTGCTATCCCTTGAACACATCTTACTAATACTTGCTAATATATCTTGTTTCATACTAATAATCCCTTTTCTTGTTTTTCTTCTTTTAGTCTTATTT